ACACACACACACACACACACACACACACACACACACACACACACACAAACACACACACACACATTTCCAATAACCTCAACCACAGAAGCTGCATTCACTGCTTCCAACATTTTTTCTTACTGTTATGCCCCCAACTTGGAAAACAACAAATTTCCCACTCATAATTATGACTTTAAAGTTCTTCAAAATCAATTTGTAAATACGATCTTTCTGACAGGCTGCCTTCAAGTGCATGTGGAAAGCTCGTACCCCGAGTTGGACATTCGTTGTAACGTCACACATTCAGGAAGCAAGACAAAATAATTATATTGTGAACAATAAACCCAAATAACTACATCTGAATTCAAAATGATGAAAATTATTAATTTCCATCACTTATTTAGCCTATGGTATCAAAACTAAATGTTTTTGTTAAGCAAACCATGAAAGTTATTAACTCTTTACCATTTACTAGACATGGTATCTGCTCACTTATATCTCTATATAGATTATAGATATGTTGTATTCTCTATATTATAATTCAGTGTTTCCGCCATGTTTCAAATTGACACGACCCTTCCCATGACCTACTACTTCCACCAAGATTCTAGAGTATTCAATGGACACTACTATCCCGTCCACAGGAGAGGGGTTGTGAATGGCAGTGAAGCAACGCAACTGACGCTGATCACATGACAGTGACAACATTGCACATATGCAATATGAATTTCATATGTCTCATATTCATACTATTATAAAAACCTATTATTTTACAGTTGTGAAGTAAGTTTCAACCCAAATGACCATACTAGACAGTATGCGACTTCAGACGTAGCTATGGTTACCAATTGTAGCGACAATTACCTCAGATCTAGATCTTCAGTATTGATATACCATAATATTTTTCAGATAATGAACAATTGACAGCACAAAATCCAACTTATTTAGACTACTCAAGGCAGCTTGACTCCAGAAGTGTACCTTGGCTCAAAAATGATTGCGATCAATGTGGCAGTTTTGAAATGAAATGAAGCATTCTGAACAGACGTCATTTGAGGAATGTCATTTTGCACAGCACTGGCAGTGGAAAAAGTTGGGATGCTCTGTACACATTGAGCACAGGGCTCATCAGAAGCAAACAAACAGAGGCGGCTCTGTGATGATGCATGAGCCTGTCAGAGAGCCCCCGGCACTGAATACAGACCAGCCAGTGTATAGGGTCAGGCGGAAACTGAACTTCTCTATCCATCACAAGCTGGTTACCACATATACACAGTGAATCTCGTGTATGTGCATTCACTCTGACATACAAACACTCGATAAACTGAGCTTCACTCTCTGAGTGCTATAAGTGGAAATTGAAGGAATCTCCAAATATCCAGACAAGAATGTGCACACACAAACACATACGCAAACACAAAGGGTTGTTTGAATTCCTGTTGAGTCTACTCTTTCTAGACCTAACATACCTACTGTAACCTTTGCAAAATTCTCAACTGCAAAAATAATTCATATCCACCGCTCTACGATTTTCCCCACATGTGATTTACGAGTGTTGAGCATTCTTGAGCGAATCGTCAAATCCTGCAGACCGTTCCATGAATTACCCTAAGGTATCCTTGGTATTTGCTAGCAGTCACACCATACCTGGTATTTCATACCAGTATTTTGAACCCTTTTAGTTTTTTCAACTCATCAACGGCCGGGTGAACCGTCTGTTTGATTATGTTGGCCTGAAAGTGGCATATTTCAGCTACCCTCTGAACAATATCATAAAAGAGGTGTTATTGATACAAGGTGAGTTTGTGTTGAAAAACGGATGCATAGAGGAGAAAGATACATATTTAGGGAGTTAATATTGGCACTTGTGGCTTATTTTTTTCCATCTCTGGTGTATTTAGCAGATTATTTCCAGGAACATTTAAAGATGTTGCTGCATTAAACAGCAAAGCTAAACAGCTCCAGGGGCACAAATTGGTTCCCAGCAGTTTCTCTCTCACACACTTACCAGCTGCAACTCTTAGTCATTTACTGAGTGGAAATTTCATGTTTGATCTAAGCCTCAGGATGTTCAATAACAATCTCACGAAGGAGTCTCAAGGTCACATTTTATATTAATTTAAAAGAAAAAAGTCTACTATTATAACCCTTTGATTGTTTGTATTGTACATTTTTAGAACAGTTTAACTTATTGACCCCCTCCCCCCAACTCTCTTGTTATGAGAAATTGAGTCTTATAGCTGTAACATGAAGAAACGATTAATATATAAATTGTATTGTATTTATACATCAATTTGATGTACTTTTTTTGGTTATTTAAAAATTGGTTTTAATAATAAAAAAAAAACATTGCAAAACAATTATCTACAGTATTTTTACAGTAATTTTAATGACTTTTCTGACATTTTGAGATTTCAGTTCTTTTTCCACATTAAAATCACAGGTTTTACTTTAAAGGATTCATTTAGTATTTCTCGAGTATAAAAGATTGTCTTTAAATTGAGTTTTTTTCTTTCAGTGATTTTGATTCATACTGTTTTGAGATTGTTTTTGTTTCAGCAGATATAGTTTCCATTGCTTTGCAGACTCTGTGTGGCAAGTCTAAGTGTTTCCATGGTATTAGTTTATTAGTTAGTTCAATCTCTATTGCTTTTTTACTTCTATTTTTAGGCAAGACTTGTATTATTCTGTTCCCAGGCAGACAGACGAATATATACACACTGATTTCCCACTGTGCAGTTTTGACATGCTTCTCTTGCTAATGTGCAGAGCTGCTGATCCCTCACTTGACTGCTTCCATGGCAATGCAATGATGTTCCAGACATCAACAAACAGACATTAGTTTGTACCTTTATTTTTTAATTCTTTTAGCATTCAGGATTGATATCTGTTTTGTCTGACAAATAGTCTAACTCATACTTAAAATTAGAACTAAGTATGTGTAGGAACCATGGTGAATTAAAGGTAATCTAGGATATTGAGTAATATGGGACACCCAAGATTTGATGTGTACATTTCTAGTTCCTAGTTAGGTTGTCATGTCATTGAGGTCTCATTTGTTGGTCTGAAGTATTGTGCTGACAATTTAAAAAGAGTAAATTGCATGATTTACTATTATTTTCACTCTATAAAATGATAATTTTATGTTAGTATGTGAATATTATTTATTCTCTTGGTAAAGCACTTTATTATGACTTGCGTTGGACCCGAAAATAAACACAGAGAAAAATTATTAACAGCAAAATAGATGACACTGTGGTAGAAATGTTCATGACTTTCAGAAAAAAAAGTTTAAGAATGCTTTTGTGATGCATGTACGTACAAATTAAAGACATGATAAACTAGTCACAGACTCACAGTGTAAAAGTTTGACTCACCCTCATGTTATTCCAAACTTGTCTGACTTTTAATCCTCTCAGAATACAAAAAAA